AGAAAAAAACTTAATAATTCTTATAGAGTTCAACTGATGTTTCAAACCATTCAGTCCTCGATATTTGCATATGTCAAATGAACAAGAAGAAAACACTTGTGTCAAGGACTGCCACCCAACCTAGCATTCATTCTTTCCTTCCTTCTTTTCCCTTAAATTTAAGTACATCTAAGACTAACATCCCATGAGAAAATCTAAATTACATGAGTCTCTCAGGAACTGCTCAGTGAAAGTTGATTCCACAGACAGGTAACTTTTTGTTTGATTTTGTTTGTAGCTCTCAGAAACAATCATTGGTACCCCAACAGCCAACTTGGACTACTAATTGTGAAGATAGTGGAAAAAACGATAGTCCTTGCCTGATGGTATTTGAAGCCAAGTGATATTTAGAGCTCTTAATTGTTCACCACTGGATTTCTTTTATGAGGAAAAAAAGTTTGTATAATTGAAAAGCTCCCTCCCACTTTAGATCCTTATTTTGGGGCTGCTAAAATTAAAGCTGATGAAACAGCAAGCAGTGGAAAGTGCCCGGATGTGTGTTTAAGAGGAAGAATAAAAAGAAAAACTCCCCACTGTCAGAGAGGGGTGCCATAAGGCAGACCCTGTGGATGGTTAAGTCTTTTGCTCTTATTTCTCTCACTGTACACTGAAAAACCTGGCAAAAGATTGGGGTCCACTGCAGGGGTCCCTAATAACTTTACATGAAAGGGGTCTCTAATATCTTCCCACTTGTTCCTACAGAGAAGCCCACTCTAACTGCTTACGTATAGAATTTCCTTTAAGACTTGGTTTCAACCAATATTTTGTATCTAAGTAAAGATTGATATTGACTAAAGAAAGACACTCATCCATCTCCCTATCTAGATGTAGTTTGAAATCTAATGTTCTGTTTTACACTAATGTTAAGGGAGAGCACTTCAGTACTTACTGACCGTGCTGTGTTCTGCAGTATCAGTGGCATGAGTCCGTACCTTTCCCACCAAATTGATGGTATAAATAAATTATTAATAAGAATAAGACATGAGATGAGGGTTTGAGTTATAAAATGGACTGAGGGACAACTGTCGTCTTGGGCCCCAAATCACCTAATTTTGGCTTGCCGTTAATGAGTACAACTCACTTGATTCTGAAGTCTCAACTTAGAATGATTTAATTCTGAGACTCTCTCTCTGTTTCCCTAGTGGGCTCCAGATTCAGAAGAGCCACACACACATTGGTTCCATGGGGCAATTATGAGCAACACCATCTACTTTAGCCAGGGAAAGGTAGCAATCTGGTGGGCTGAATTTCTGGACCCAGCGGAACATAATATATTGGTACTCCTCGTGTATTGCCTACATTTGTAAGTCATTAAATTCGCCTCTGTCAGAAATAGAAATTTAAACTGCAATGGCAAACAGAAAAACCCAAATGACAACCAGGATTTGGAGGTAGAGTTATTTATGTCAAAGGGCTAATTGAAAGAGGGTCTCATCTCACTTGTACTTGCCTTTCCGTTGATGTCTGCTAGTGGCCTGCTCATTTCTGGCCATTGATGATCAGAGGAAGGATTTTCTTACTGAATGCATACTAGCAGAACAAATTAACTTTAAAAAAAAGATAAAATAAAAATTCAAAATAAATATTTCAATTGTTTTTAAATTTTAGAAATTTGGGAATGATCGGGATCATTCCCAAAATATCAGGCCCTGATCTCTGGTGGTCTAGGACTTATAAGGGATAAGCAAGCAGGAACCACAGAGGCAGAATGGCTTGTCAATTGGGGATTGGTTTACCAGATGTGTCATAGTGACCAGCTATACATCCCAGTGATCAGCCATTGCTAAGAGACAAAAGCAACCAAAACTGGAACAGGAACTATTTATTACTTGGACAACTAAGAAACTGAAGTATACTGGCCAGGGTGGTAGTGGCATTTTCAGTTACAAAACTGGTATTTTTCAGATAAGGTCTTTAATTGAGATAGAAAACTATTAGCCTGTGGACATGCGTCTAAAAGTCTCTGAACAAAGGGGAAAGGGTAAATAGTCAATAAGTAAGGTATTCTCTATGTTAGCATGGATTGGAAAAGTACTGACAGTTAAAGCCCCCCCACCCCATGATTTAATCATTGCTTTTAAAGCCCACAAAGTGTTCATAGAGGGAGCAGGCCAAGGGTAGGGGCACCAGCCATGGAGACTGGACCCCACCCAGTACTCAAGCCAGTGAGGAAAGGGGGAAGAGAACTGCACGCTAGGCTGCAAGGAAACTGTTGCTAGGGTTAAATTGCTCACTGTAACCACTATGTGTCAACCTGCTAGGTAGATATGCATTCCTGTAAGATGGAGAAATAAAAGTATTTTGCCCTCACTACTCCCAGTCTTCTGATCTATCCATTGCTCATGATCAAGGTGTGAGGGGTGTTCCTCATGCCTCTCTGTAAGTTGTTTGTTATTTAAAATCATACTTATCCTGGGGATGTAGCTCAGCAGCATAAGCACCTGCCTGGCAAGCACAAGGTCCTGAGTTCAATCTCCAGTACCAAAAGAAAAGGTCATATTCAATAAAATCCGCATAAGCACAAGAAGACTCTGTATTAATTAGAAAATTGATTTCTAGACTTTTTTTTACTAAGTGGTATGAAATAACTTTAAAAATATTCATTTAACAGATACTACCTTTTCAGGAGTACCTTCATGTCAGAGAATAACCATAAGGTATCCGGCTACCTGGCTACATTGAAGAATGGAAAAACTGGTGGGGAACACCAAACATGATGCAGGTCAGTTTACTTTTGGTGCACAGTTTTCAGAGGTTTCAATGAGTAATTGCTTGGCCTGGTTGCTTTAAGGACTGTGGAGAGGGAAAAGATGGTGGTGGAAATACATGGATGAAGAGAGCTGCTCCGCTCCTGGTGGCTACGAAGCATGGAGAAAGAGAGGAAAAGGCTGGAAGCAAGAAGACATCCTTACAGGGCACACCCCAGTGACATACTTCCTTCAGCTAGGCCCTGTGTCCTGAATTTTATATCATGTCCCCAAAGCTATGGATCCAGAAATGGATTAATGCTTTCAGGGGGACAGAAACCCTATGATCCCATCAGCTCCCAGAGGTCCCACCTCTGGAGCTTGCTAAACCAGGGACCAACACGAGATCTTTAGGGGGCATATTTAAGAGCCAAGCCCTAACAATCGTTAAGTGTCTTATCAAAGTTCCTGCCAATTCTGAGCTGCTCCCTTTTTACTTTTTATTTATATATACATATACGTTTTAAAGAATACAAAATAGAGATATAAAAAAACACAGCATTAGAAATGAGATTTCACTAAACAAAGTAATAGGAATTCAACAATGGTGGTTGTATTGCCTGATGCGATCTTCAAAGTAGTTGTTCACCTTACCAGATATAAATATGTAAGATTCGTTTAAAAAAAAGAATTTATGAGAAATTTGAAAGAGGGAAAAGAAACAAAGTTAAAAAAAAATTAAGCATTAACTTCTCCTTTCAAAAGAATAGCAGACTCTATGCTGATGGAGTTATAGTAAGTGTATATTCCTTTCAGAGGATGATACATTAAGATACATCAGAGCCTGGAGAGTGTACATACTAGATGGCTAGGAATTTACTATAAAGGAATGGTTAAATATGTATAAATGGAATGTTTATAATACTGAGAAAATGTCCTTTTATTTATAGGAAATGAGTAATAATATTTTTGAATATTAATACAATGGTTAAAAATGAAGAAAGAAAACAAAAACAGTGGTGAATGAAGGCAAGAGACAGGAAAAGGAATGTTGTAGGACTGTCCTGCTTCAAAGTTGTATATGGTAAGATTTTTGGACTTATGTGTAAACATAAGAAGTATATAATTATTTATGACTATTTTTAAAAATATATTCTAATTTTTAAATGTTTTTTCATCATATTCTGTAGGGACTTAAAGTTCAACATATCAATACTTGATGAAAAATACCTGTTCCATGTTCTGCCTAAGATGTTTGCTATTCAGACAGATAGTGAGGCTAAGCTTAATAGCCTAGGTTGTATGGTAATAACAATCAGTTTCTCTTCTGGAGGGTTAACAACCTAAGTTTGCAGACCAAAATTAGAGAAAAAGGAGGGCTGCAAGGAAAGCCAACATTTGGGCCCTAGCCTTCCAAGGTCAATTAAGACTCAGGACATATGAGAACTTGTACTGTAATGTCACGTAACTCAGTAGTGTCCCAAATTTTGTGATCAAGGAGATTATGGGGCCAAAGAGGAAAGTGATCGATGATGTAGAGTGTGCCTAAGGAGAGTCACATGGAGAGAAAACATTCTCTCAGGCTCACAGAGAGCACGTTGGCCAAGCAATGGCCGTGACTCATCCACATGGCTGACACTGACAAAGGTTCTAAAATCTGAGGTACAGGATCTCAGGATAAATCCTGAGGGGATTTCACTGACCTTATCAGACCCAAAAACTACAACTCTTGTTGCATAGGTCTTGCTTTACCTTGGTCTTAGCCATCCAGTAGAAAAGTATGAAGATGAAGTATAGGAAGTAAAGCCATGCTGTTATGTTGAGCTGTGGGGGGCTCAGTTCAACAATTTCTGACATTGCTAGTTAAGTGGAAGACCCAATGCTATTATGGGCTGCTGGACTCTTTTAGAATATTTTGCTGCGTTTACACACCTATAATATTCAAATAACGGAACTTCACAAAAAAAGGGTATACAGATGAATGTCCATTTTGTATCTGTGTATTCAAAGTGGTTAGGATAGATATATGGTTTCATTCTCTTAATGAATAGAATGATTTGTTCTAATGGTGTTTGTAAATAGGATATCATGTCCGCATCTTGTACAGCAATTAACCACTAGGAAGAATGTATGCAATGTGTTAATTATTGAAACTGTCCTACCAATTGGGTTTGAAACTGTCTCATAGCTATTTGTTTCTCAATAAAATTATGAAAAAAAAAAAAAAAGAAAGAAAAACAAAAGACCAGCAGAAGTCAACAATACAATTATCAAAAAAATCTGGAACACTTCACAAGTTTGTGTGTCATCCTTGCGCAGGGGCCCTGCTACTCTTCTCTGTATGGTTCCAATTTTAGTATACGTGCTGCCCAAGCAAGCACTGCTCCTCTTTTTATTTTATTTATTTATTTATAATGAATTTAGTAGCGCGTCTACAGGGTCTCACTACACAGATCAGACTTGCAGTGATTCTCCTGTTTTCAGCCTCACAAGCGCTGGGCTTATAGGCACGAGTCACCAGGCCCAGTCTCAGTCCCTGTGTCAGGGAACCCTGGGGGCAGGGCCCGTAGGGCACACCGGGAATCGAAACCGGTCCCTGCGTCTGCCTTGCTCCTCTTTTAGAAATGCAACACTTGTACAAAATAAAATGAAAGACAAAGGCCCACTCAAATATCACATTTTAACATATTAAAAATCTGACTTTGGATAAATCTTGAGGGGATTTCACTGACCTTCTCAGACCCAAAAGCTACAACTCTTGTTGCATAGGTCCTGCTTTACCTTGGTCTTAGCCATCCAGTAGAAAAGTATGAAGATGAAATATAGGAAGTAAAGCCATGCTGTTATGTTGAGCTGTGGGGGACTCAGTTCAACAATTTCTGACATTGCCAGTTAAGCAGAAGACCCAATGCTATTATGGGCTGCTGGACTCTTTTAGAATATTTTGCTGAATTTACACACCTATAATATTCAAATAACGGAACTTCACAAAAAAAGGGTATACAGATGAATGTCCATTTTGTATCTGTGTATTCAAAGTGGTTAGGATAGATATATGGTTTCATTCTCTTAATGAATAGAATGATTTGTTCTAATGGTGTTTGTAAATAGGATCTCAAGTCCGCATCTTATACAGTAATTAACCACTAAGAAGAATGTATGCAGTGTGTTAATTATTGAAACTGTCCTAGTGATTTGATTTGAAACTGTCTCATTGCTATTTGTTTATCAATAATATTATGAAAAAAAAATCTGAGTCATCTTTACAGTTGGAAATTTTTAATTAAACACAGTTGAAAACCTATCAATTATTGAGCATTCCTCCTATTGAGAATCTTTGAAAGCTATCAGTCTTAAAACTTTGCTACCAGAAACATGCCAACAGTTTGGAAATACTATTTATTAGTATTCATATTATAGTACAAGCAAAACAAACAAAAACTTCTTTGCACCTACAATAAAAATGTTACCTCTATTGGTTGAATTTTCTTCATCTGAAATAAAAATTTGTTCCCTGAACATGAGGGTAAAACAACTATTTGTTTTAACTTGACCCATCTTTTGCAATCCAGCTTAATTATTTTACAAAATTCCCTCTGAAATAAATGTTCCAGGTGGTCAAATAATACTGGCAGACTATTGACATTTCAGTGACAAAACTAAGCGACACCTTTAGGGAAATTGGGTTTGTTTTTTTTTTAGGGAAATTTGTATATCAAGTTTTTCTTTCTGTTCCTTCTCTCTCTTTTTTTTAAACAAATATTGTGTTAAAATTTTGGTACCAGAACTTTACTAATTCATATATGGTGTTTTGTTTTGTTTTTTTTGTGGTACCAGGGATTGTTGTTGGGTCCACACTTACACCACTGAGCTATTTTCCAGCCCCAAACTTTACTAATTCAAAGCAAAGAATGCCAAGTAATCATAAAGATGTAACTTATACAGGTATGTTTAAAGACATACCTATATGTCTTCTGTTTTCTTTCAAATATATTTCAAATTATATAATAAGGTAGACAAGAATAAAAGATGTAAATAAAAAATATTACTGATTGTATAAATCATAAAGATTAATTTAATACCTTAGCAATAAAATTTTATTTGTGAATTATTTGTTACTAGATTCAGTGGTTATAAGAACTTTTTCTTGAGCTCTTATATCAACATTATTAAAATCCTCCTGAAAAGTACATTATTTTGCAGGATAAATGGAAATTTTGAATGAAGGATATAGGAATTTGGAGTATATGCATTCTTTACTGAAGTATTTGGTTATTTATGAGGCTGGCATCCTCAGCATGTCCTTCTCATTGTTGGTCACAATCTTTTCTCCACCTATTTTTAGCTTCCTTTCTACTCTGAGCAGACTAAAGAAATCCTTGGGCCCCCTTTGCAGAACTAGATTATCATTAGACCATTTCCAGCACCAGGATATTAGTGCCTAAATCTTAGCTTTAAAAAAAAATGTCTTGTGAACTTGATCTAACTCAGACCCACTCTAAAATCATCTCAATTTGAAACTGAACCCAGGTGGATCTCTGCCTATATAAGAAACAACTGGGCTGGGGAAATAGCTCAGTGCTCTCAATGCCTGCCCAGAAAGTATGAGGGCCTGGGTTCGATCCTTGGTACCACATGCTGTGCTGGCCCTGGAATCACCATGCTGTGCCAGTCACCAAAACCAGGCATGATGGCGCATGCCTGTAATCCCAGTGCTGGGGAGGCTGAGGCAGGAAGATAACTATGAATTTGAGCTGTGTAGTACCAACTAAATAAACAAATAAATAAATAAAAAATTAGGGCCAGCGAGATAGCTCAGTGGACTAAGTGCCTGCTTAGGCAAGTGTGGGGACCAGGATACCGTCCCCGGCACCACAGGCCATGCCACCCCCCGCCCCAAGGCGTGCTGAGCAGGCCACCAAGACCAGGCATGGTGGTGCACACCTGTAGTCCCAGTGCTGGGGAGGCTGAAAACAGGAGGATCACTACAAGGCTGAACTGCTGTATTGTAACCCTGTACCAGATACATAAAAATTTTAAAACTAAAATAAATAAATAAAAGATTTGTTTTTAAAAAGAAAAAAACAACTGAAACCTACCAGATATAAAATCAGAGCAACTTCCTTGGTCTAACAAAAGCCGAAGGGAGTGGCACTCTGTGATTTCTGGTTGTGAGCCATTCTTCACTAATTCAAACTCTTATTTTAGTGTCATTTTTTATGTGAATCAAAACAAATACCTTAGGTATAAATTTCTGTAAAATACCACTTATCTTTATCTTTAGATATGAAGGTGTGTATTAATCGTATTTCCATTTTCTTAGAGATCTCTTTTTATGTGTTAATAATTAACCAGAGAACTAATTTATCCAAATCCTGGAAGTTTAGTTGACTTGAAATAAAAGTAGCATCACAAAGGTTATATTCGTGGTTTTTTGCAGCCCATCTCCAGCCATGGGCCTTTGGAGGATACTTTGTGTTCTAATCGTCCTGGAGAAAAGCTGGGGACAGGAACAAGTGTAAGTAAAGCACAGCGTTTTTGTTTTGTGGTGTGTCTTAGTTGAGCTGAGTGAAAAAGTGGAATCAACATTGTATTAATTTGAAAATAATTTTCTCCGGAGTCTATCAAATGGCTAGTCTTGTTTCAAAGTGAGAGTCATAGAAGCATATGGATTTGATGTGTGGCTAGCAATATAACAGATTTTATGAGATTGATATTTAGAAAAATATCCATAAGTGACTGTTCAAATTTTTGTTCATAAACTCAATAAACTAGAAATAATAGCATAGTAGTGAATAGTAACTGGGTAGTATCTAATGGGACCCATTCATTTTCTATAGGAACATAAGCCCAGATGGGGGCGGGGTAGCTGCTCAAAAGCCACTTGCTAGTAGAAGACTGAAGCAGGACTTTTATTAAAGTACCCTATTTATCACTTCAGTTTATTTCTTTTTGTCACAAATTTATACAAATAGATATTTTAAGTATATTATGAATACAGGGGTATATACTTTTGGATGCCATAAAATGACCACAGTCACCTGTTATTTTAGGAACTTTGTGGTATTGATTATTTGACTTATTTATTTATTTATTTATTTGGTACAGGTTCTCACTATGCAGCTCGGACTTGTAGTGTCTCAGCCTCCCCACAGCTGGGGTTATAGGCATGCGCCCTTATGCCTGGTTTTGGTGGCTGGCACAGTGCCCCTGAGGTTCTGGGGCCAGCACAGCATGTGGTATCAGGGATTGAACCTGGGTCCTTGCACTTGCCAGGCAGGTGCTTAGACTGCCAGGCTATCTTCTCAGCCCTTGACTGACTTTGATATTGCAGATTGAGTCAAGAACCTTATGTATGCTAGGTTTATCACTGAAGTTACTTCTTTTTGAAAGATAAACAACTGAAGATGGTAGAGATTGAGATTAATTAACTTCAAATTAGTAGAATTAGTGCTAGGATCTGGAGTCCCATAATTCTTGTCCAATAATTTATTGAGCACCTACTATGTGATGGCAGTGGCAATAAAAATCAGCAGATGGGCACAGACAGTTCCTAGAGCTTACATTCTAGTTGGAGGGACAAAATAATGAATGAGCCAATGAAAGAATGAATAAAAAGGGACTGGTAATTATTAGTATTATAAAGAAAAAAATGAAGTTAGAAGTTAAAGAAATGACAGGCACTGTCTAAAAGTATGGACAGGAAAGATTTTCTTAGGGAAGAAACACAAACAGTGCAAGTGAGGGTGCAAACCATGCAGATCTCAGGGGAAAGGATACTTTTTAAAGCCCAAAGTGGCATTTTTCTCTCTTTGTGGTCTCAGCAGCCTGATTCTCTGCAGCTATTGATAAAAAAAAAAAAAAAAAAAAATGCAAGTGTGAAAATCTTCATGTTGTTGAATATTAATAAGGATGAAATGCAGGAGCTGGTTCCACAGTCATCTTCCAAGGGCTTCTAAATACTAAATATTTCCTATTTTGCTAGTAGTACCCAAAAGACTTTTCAAGACAACATATTAAGCTGAAAAACTAAGGCCCATAAGAATATTGAAATTATGGTAGCTTTTAATCCTTTTTTTTTTTTTTCTTCTGGTGGAACCAGGGATTGAGCTTGCCAGGCAGGCACCTATTCTACTGAGCTATGTCCCCAGTCCTGTTAATCTTTAGTTTTCTGATCACAAATTTTTCCTAACTGGATCAAGTGCAGCATCTAATCTCCACTCTGACTCCCACTATGGTTGCACCAGCCTGCCTCCCCACCAGTACTGGAGGTCTTGCCTTTGCCCCACAGGCCCTCTAGTATTTATTAGTTGTCTTCATGATAATAGCCACTCTTCCTGGAATGAGATGGAATCTCAGCATTGTTTGAATTTGCACTCCTTGAATGACCTGTGGTGCTGAACACTTTTTTATATATTTATTCACCATTTGTACTTCTGAGAAATGTCTATTCATCTCAGATGCCTGTTTTTGCTTTGGGTCTTTGAATTTGGAGTGTCTGACTTTTTTCAGTTTTTGTTTTTGTTTTTTTGTTCACGAGTTTGGCTCAGTTTCAGTTCTTTATATGTTCTACATATTAGTCGTTTGAGGAGAAGCTAGCTTAATTTTTTTTCCACTCTGTCGGTTGTCCTTCTACTCCACTGCTGACTTCTTTTGCTGTGCAGAAGCTAATAAAATGTGATAATTCCTAAGTGATAGTTTTGTTCATAAAGTCTTATAAAGTCTTTGCCTACATCCATGTCTTCCACAGCTCTACCTATTCTCTCTTCCAGCAGATTTATTTATTTATTTATTTTTAATGAGCAGAATATATTTATTGAGGGAAAGAAAGCTCCTGTGAGAGAGGGACAGGAGTGGGGCCTGAGTGGGTTGTTCCCTTCCAAAATATTTAGTATTCAAGTTCATTCATAATTTTATAACTTACTAGCTTAGTGATCCTGGGCAAGTTTTTTGTTTATCTTAAA